GACTAAGTAGGGGCTAGAGGAAAGGAGAAATAACAAGTATGAGTGAAGTACTGGGGATTATTACCTCTTCAGGATGAACAAGGAAGAACTAGGTCTGGAATTAGGAAAGGACGAGTATTGCAAGTTATTATTTCTTCCAAACCATGAAGTTAACAAAATGAACCAATTGTAGCTTCTTCCATTATATTACTATTTGCAAGAGTCCTGTACTTGCAATATTAATATTAATAAGCTTGCTCTTACACTTTCATCATTCCGAAAAACCAGTGTGCTGTGTGTTGAGATCACACAATCGGTTGTGTACAGTGCTTCGCTGACAGTATGTTTCGGGATTCCATCCTGCGAGCACTGAATGATATTATTTGCTTTGTGTTATTTCGCTTTTCTTACTCCGAGTATCAATCTGGGTTTCCACATTTTCCTAGTTGCATTATCTTATACCAATATAATTTCTATACAAGTTTAATTTTTATATATACATATTAAACATCTGTGTAGACTTTGTGAACAGAACTCTCTACGAAGCACAACGGTGAGTCTCCGAACATATATCCTAAACAAAAAATTACATTTGGCATAGTTTAACAATGAGCGTGATGAAGTTTCATGGAAATGGCACAATATCTTTTCAGAGAAACATTAAAGAAGTAGCATGCGATGCACCGCTTGATGCAGGAAAAGCACAGCAAAGATATTTGTATGATCAGTACCGAACCTGATTTCTAATTGCATCACACGTAAAGGTGAATCCATCATCCTATTTTACATGTGACTACGACATACGTTTATGGTTCAAAACCTTATTATCGGGATGATTTTACAGTCGAAACGTCGTGGGTGGTCGTCAGCACAACGATGCGTTGACAATCTGAGACCACCAAAGATGTTTGTTGCAGTAGCTAAGTTGCCGAAGGTTGTCAATATTTTATCCTTGTAGACGGTAATTTTCATGACACTCTTATATATTAGCTTGTTAATTTCGTAAAAAAAAGATGGTAGGACGAGTGAGGTACTGGCATGTTTGGTAGGGTTTGCTGGAGAAAGAAGTCATTATTATTTTTTCACTCGCTTTTTCACGTTTTTTTTTCGGGGCAGTGATGTTTATTAAGAATAGGCTTATTTAGGTGGTGTTCGCATAGATGATTGATGAGTTGGAAAATTCAGTACCATATATTTCTTGGTTAGGTCACTCAAATAGAGAGCTAAGAAGAGGTTGGGATATCTCGGAAATATTGGTTTTGTTGGAAAATCTAAATTCTCATCTTTACAGAAAACAAGATTGCGTTTATTTAGTCTTGCATTTGTTAGTACTATTTGTTATCGAAAATTAGGAGAAATTGTGCCATACATTATTGAAAGTAGCAATTGGGGTGGAGGTATGGAGAAGATTTAGCAGCTATTATTTCATTAGCCAAGTAAACTAATTTTATTATGGGACTCTGAGAATGTAGGGGATAATTTCTCCTAATGGATGTTCAGAACCTGTGATATAAAATATATGAACCAATATATTAATAACTGTGAGAAGAGAAACTTGCTTTCGGTTAATTTCAACAGTTAGAAAAATAATAGGTCTCATTTCAGCGGCTGTTAAAATTCTCGATTTGACAACGAACCCTAAAGGGGATCTGCTTTTGATGCTTTAGACTTACTCCTTTTTTCGAAAAGTTTTCTTAAGGGATTGCACAGTTATAAAGCTGAGGTTAATCCGTTGTCTTAAATTTAAGATATTCACACATTTCTTGAGGTTTGAACTGAATAGCTTCCATATAATCAAACTATTTTTCACTTGAAGAGTCTAATGCAGTCCCTTAATAGAATTGGCTTAAATAGACTTGATATATAAGAATTATTTCTGCATTTTTGTCATGAATAATTCAGTAATTACGTTAAAAACCATAAAAATACTCAAATGTTCAAATTTATCTATTGAAAATATATTACTATTTTACTGCATCTGAAGACAAGATCTTTTCAACGCTTAACTGACGTTTATCTTCTTAAACTATTTAGAGAGAAATTCTCATTGTCAATACTTACCAAAGATCGCCACAATCGTCTACTTTTGAAATGAAATTAATAACCAAAAATCAGCATTATTGATTTTGATTGCATGGTTATTCACAAAAACAAAGCAAAAGTTTTTCTTTCCAAAATGTAAAATTTATTCACTTTGCGTAGGGAATCCCTTCGTCATATCTAAATAAAATATCTTTGCCGCCAGCCGGTAAAATGACACCTTAATCCTATCAAGCGTCAAGCTGCCGTCAACTTTTCACACATCGCTCCTTTCCCATCCACTTAACATGACAATTAACTACTACAACTTTCCACTCAAAAAATTTAGCAACTTCTAGACTCCCCTCAATAATATGTTAGGTTTATTTGGTGCACACGATGTCAAAAGCATTTGAATAAATTACAATCCGCATGTTCCAATTGTCATAATTTCAATTCTAGATACTCCTAATTATGCTTTGTCCTTCCAAAGGCAGTGAGCAAGCATTTTCTCATGCATTCAGATTTCTATCCTTAAATGAGAATTGCATTCTGATATAAAAAGATGTCATGGAAAAGGACCTGTCGTAATGTCCACAGATAGTTCCATTTGAATGACCGATGGCCAAACTTCTCAACTGATTGTAAATTTTTGCTTGCAGTGTTGGAACAGAGACATTGTAATCTGTTTATAAATCGACTTCCTGCCAACTGCTTTTCTTTTTAATACCACTTCAACGGCGGATAGTGTAGTACTTCGGGACTTAATCATGTATTCTATCTCTAGCCCCAAAATACACTAACGTGCAATAGATCTTTCTAAACGTAATCCAACTCCTTCCAGTTAATGCAGACAAATATTCTTTTTACGTATCATCACAATCAAAGCAACCAAAAAACATGCGTCTTATGAGCTCAATAGTTCTTTTTGTCCTCTTAATAACGGAAAGAATCATTATTTCTGGCATCACTTCTCCTTAACCTCCTATATTGTAGTTATCTTGTACTATTACAATAGAATGTGGCTCACTCCAAAATACTATGACCTTCCATTCACGCTGATTAAAACCGAACTGATATGGATATAAGCAGTGTTAGCAGCAACTTATATCAGATCAGATTTCAGCGCCTTGAATCTCATTCCTTTCACGTGCTTTATTTGTTTACTTTATAAATGCCTCGCTTTTGCTAGTCTAATTTTACATTAGCATATTGCTGCATGTACATACATTAATAGCCTCACTCTAGATATCAAGCTTGGCCAAGATTCGACTGGAATGATCTTAATAATGTTAAAAAAATCACAACCATTCATCTTAAATTTCTCAATAAGCGATCTTTATCATGCAGAATAAAGTTTACAGCACAACTCACCGAAATCTGAAATGTTGAAATATAGGCATTGCATGGTTCTCAGCAGAAACTTTGAAATAAAACATTTATGCCCATTACCCTGTGCGGAGCAATACAAGGAAATTCGAAGATTAAAAGGTATTCAAGACCATATTTTCTATTACAATGAAATCGAAGATTGCATAATAATAAAGAATTCAAGACGAACTCGCTGCTTCAAAAAGTTTGTAATAACTAATGGTCAAAACCTGGTCCAAATGACTTACTAGAAAAGAATAACTAGTCACCGTTAAGGCATAGCAGCAAGCCATGTATTTCTATAAGGTGATGTCTTCTGGAAAATGAACAATAGGTGTGTGATCGCAACATATTGCATAGAGTGAAGCATAACATCAACAAAATAGCAGAGGAAAAAATAAGACGATGGGCTAATTGGTTAAGTAATTATAAATAATTATACAATTAAGTAACTATAAATTGCTATACCCGTAAGTATAAAAACATTATGTAATCTTGTTAAAGCTGATTTCTATTTCTTTTTATTACACGGACAAACGGAACAGAATTACAAAACTTAGAGTAAGTGTGTTCAAAATAAAACGGGAGAAAAAAATTATTCTGCTTTACTCAACTTCCTAACATTTCGAAAAATATAATAAGACGAAGCAAAAACTAAAGGAAGAGATTCACAAGGATTTGAGGAAATAAAATCACAATTGAATAATATTGAGGTTTTCAACTACTGAGACATCGATGAAAGCTTAAATTTAAAATTCTCACTTTTCGTTGAGCTTTCAAATTTTTCCAGAATTGTGTTTAAATTCAGTACTCCAGATATTTTGCATTCCAAGGAATCAGTTTTAGAGAATCAGCTTAGTCAATTAAACTCTCTCAAAAAATGGAAAAAGTAATTTCTGGAAAATTTCGCGTATGCTAAAGCCACGCGATAAATTGCAAACAAAACGACAATATTACTGGTAACGGCGATTTAGATCAAACATACCCGAGGTGTTTCCCAACATATTTTATTGGCTTATACATATTAGAAAAAACATATTGCGGGAGCTTTAAACTAGATAAAAATGACCCTTTTCTCTGTATTCCTTTTAAATCTGTTGTGTTGTGCAAAAGAAGAGAAACTGGACCTATATTTTGACAAAAAGGCATTTGGTTAAGGTAGCAGATTATCTAGAATGAGATATTACAGGATTAGAAAGAAGAAATAGAATCCCATTCGAGCCAACGAGATCTTAAAAAGCTTCAAACTTAAATGCAGAAATACATCCAATTAACTATTAATACATCAGCAAGTGTCGTGATTCATTCTTTACATACGTCTAATCGCTGTTCTTTTGCACTGGCGTATTACCGTACTCGTTAGATGAAGCAATAACTAAATATATTGTTTTCCTTGCTTATTTGTAAAGCTGCTGTGATAATGCAATTGCCTGATAAGGTCTCGCTCCAAAACAACCCTGAAATTTAATGAAAACTCGAAATTTTGGGAAGAAATAAATTCAAGTCAAAAAGATTCTTCTGGTTAGCATTTCTAAGTTTTATTGCGAATATTTTCAAAAAAGCATTGAACAATGTTGTAGAAATAACTGGGGTAATCAATTGTTGAAGTAAGCAAGATACACTTCTAGTTTTCACAAGTTTTTAATTACAGTGCTTGCTAACGAATGCTTGCAATCCTGATCATCCGACAGCTGATCTGCGAGTACATTCAATAGTCCATGTCTCTGATCTAGGGTTGTGGCTGATGTCCAGTTCCACCTTCACTGGAAAATATTTTGCACTGAATAACCGTATGTTTTGGTAATTGGTAATTAAGAACTAGTAATTACCACTAGCTTAATCAGTGATTAGATTATAGAAGCTGCTTGATACCACTGATATACCCCTGATTAGACACAATGCATTGAACGACATAAGAATTTGGTTAACCTCTGAGGCACTTGTAGGATATAATATTTTTGAAACTTTAAAGCCAATTATTTCTATTGTCAACACTTAATTCTATAGAATAAAGTACTTCCAGATTTTCGAAATTTTTTTTTAAAAAGTAAAAAAAATTGAGGTACCTATTCACAGCAGCTTTTTGCGGAGTTTTTCTTACTACTAACGGTAGCATGGGTGGTGGAAATGGATAACATCCAGAAGATGCTGGTTGTTGCAATCCGGCGGTATCTGTTGCAGTACAGGATGGTATCCGTTCAATGGGTAATTCTGTAGTTGTAGCAGTGCGAACTTTGTCCGGAATTTTCATACATTTGCAGCAGATACATGCACATATGCATAGGCACACGGATAAACTAACAGTAGCCATACTGATAAGTAAGAGCGTCAAACCAGTTAATGAACCCAACGGGTCATTAGTCAAAACTGAAACGACTTCAAAATTTACCAGAATTTTTTAATTCCTATAAAAGCTTTAACAAGGCATCTGTTAAGATGGAATTGTGTTTCTGGATTTTTTTTCAAATTTGTTGCTTGAAAATATCACAGTAGAATTAAAACAAATTTTATTTTCGCATGCATCTTTTCTTTCAATCAATATATTTTCAATTAGAATTCAAAAATAAAAATGAAAAACAAACAGTCGCATTTGTGAGCAATTTGCAGTTCACGTATTAAATCGGATTCATCCTTGCAGTCTGGATATCGATTGCATGCAAGTTCTGCAGCAATACATTCTTGATTTTTGCATGTGAATTCCCGTTGGATATTGCATGGTGCTAAAATGATTACCAAAACTGATGTACATTGATATAATGGGTTTCTTCGAATGTACACAAGTATCCTATATTTGAAAGAGGTCTCTAATGCTAATATTTTAACATTTAATCATAAGCAATATCTGATTTGGATAATCATGTCAAATTTTTAGCAGACAGATATGCAAAAGAATAGCTCCCGTTATAACAAGTACTAATACATTAGGAAAGCAAGAAGTTAAATAAAGTTAGAAGAAAAAATGTCACAAATTTATAAGAATTTAACAAAGGGTTGCAAAATAGAACTAACCGATGTTGGATTTCCGAAATGCGGACCAAAGTAACCGAAATCCTTCACCATTATGATGAAATGGTAATTCGGCATCTGTATGCCACCATAGCGTTAATGCGTTCTCGGTTGAAACAGCCAACTCACTAGCATTTCGGATAGTACCGCAAAATTGACCAAGAATGGGTCCCGGCGAAGTGTCTTCGTGGGTTGTGTCTCGTAAAGTTTGCGGATCAATTGGTTTTTCATGCTAAAGCTTCTTTTGTTTTTCAAAATTGCAAAAAAAAAATTTTCTCAAAAATTTTAAATCATTTTATTTACATACTGGTTTCAAAGCATAACAGATTTGAAATGAAGAAATATAACGTCAAAAATGTCCCCAGACTTAGTTTAAACTTAAGTGGTTATAACAATTCATTCAACTACATGTAAAAAAGACAAACTAATGAAATCAATTTTCGTATAAGCTTGTTTTATGGCTGGAAATATAAAAAAATAGGTTAGACAAGCAATTTTAATTCTAATTTTAAATAAGTGAAATACTAAATCCCAAGCTTATTAGAAAGTAAAATGCAAAAATTTGATAGAAAAATTGCTATAATATAAAACAAACATCGAAAACATGGAGCGTATCCTTATCACAATTGTGGGCATCACCGAGTACATTGAAATCAAGCACACGTAAGCGTATACGATAACCAGATGGTGCCGTTATCAGCAGAAAACAATTCTTGGACGCATTGTATGGAAAGCTTCCATATAATTGATGTGATATCAGTAAACCGGACAGAGCAGTTATACGACGTTCCAATTTCGACTTACAGTTGTCTAAGTAGCTCGCACCGTCGAAATAACCTCAAATATGCGCATTACATAAAATTTCTATCAAAGCAGAAATTCCGTTAACGTGAAAAAACAAGAAAACTTGTATGACAATTTGTTTTCAAATTAACCGCGAAGTATACAGTGTTGAGAACTTACTTATTTGTGGCTCATATGACAGTACAGCTTGACCTGGAGTAATTAAAACAGAGTAGGAAATAAGCAGAATGAATGTTGCACGGATCATCCAAATAATAGTCAATATTCGGGATAATGTTGATGATACTAGTGATTCCGACAACGATAACAATGTTAATGATGACGAGGATAGAACTGATACTGTTTCAGAAATCATAGCTGATGAAGGTGAATTTATAAGTAATGAATATGCTGGCGACTCTCTTGAGTGCTGTAATTGCTGCGATAAGTAAAGCATATGACTGATTGTATTAGAAATGTTGGAATCTAAAATTCTTATAAATTAAAAGAAAATTTGAGCAGTATGAAATTCTATACTGTAGATGCCAATAAAATATTTCGGATACATACAATTCACAACAGTTTAAGATGAGGGAAGTTGAATTGAAACAAAACGATGTTCCGATTGTGAACTAAATGCATGATGGCTGCTAGGGGCGAGGGGTAAAAAACTTCAGTGAAACATTATTCATATGGATATTAAGAAGGAAATATAAATACAGAATGCATCAGAATTTGATATGGTAACAGTGAACCTGGATGATAATGTTTGGTAATTTGATGAATAATTTTATTGATGTAATGGTGCTGCATTTGCAAATTCATTAGCACGTGGTTTTTCTGTTGGTATAGCAGAAATTACGCAATAACTTCCACAAGAAATGGGTATTTAATTTAATCTATTCACTAGCGTTTTCTGTTTTTTGTGATTTTTATGAATATTCCTTTCGAAAAAATATAAATACTACTATTAGAGGTGCTATTCTAAGTGGCCCATATCTACTTTTCTTTCCTTATATCATTAAGATTTCACCAATTAATTTAAGCAATATGACCTAATATTGTTGGATTTTGAGAATTATAGCTAAGAAAATAATGTTAATGTTAAAGAGTAAAAAGAGATGCAAAAAATTTTCAAATTTTAGCTAGTGCAGTCGGCACTTTCGTAATTAACAACTGCTGCTGCTGCCTGATATTGAGTAGTAGTGGTAGTTCCTTTTGGAGCTCATATGTATATTTTTTTTTGTGCGACTCCGGATAAAGATAAAATTAATCCAGTAAAACAATTTAGAAGTGAACTTACGTAACTGCGATTAGTTTGCAGGTAAATGATGAATGAATGAATAGGCATAAATTGATGTGTCTATCTAGCATATTTGCTTCACGTCTATTTTATGCCGTTGGAAGCCAAAGAATGCCAAACTCGCTTAACATTACAAGCACACTTTTCTGCTCCTATAGGTCAGAATATGCACGTAACATCAAAACAGCCGTTTGAACTGCTTGAATTTCTCCACAAATTAGTGCCATTCTGAGACCTTCAATAAAATATATAGTTACATACAAGTATTATTTAAAAAGTTGTTGCTAGTGCAGGAAACTTATTATCTTTATGATAATAACCAGTAAAGATTTATTGGTGGAGATTCTAAGCTCAATTTTGTACTTGGACTAATAAAACATAATTAAAAGGGGAACATATAAGTTACCACGAAAATGCAAAAGACAAGCAATGCTACAGTGACCGCAATAATGCACTCTCATTGTATGAAATTTTTGTGTAAAACAATTCCAACAGGTCAGCAGTTTTCATAACGTGACTGTCTTCACGTGCAAAACACGGAATAAATAAGGAATAGATGATGAGAAAATGAATGAACTTATTTACATATGTATTTTGTAAATGAAATAATGATGGAAATAACAATTATAAATGATCATGATGATAACAGCGATACGGAAAGGTTTGTGACAGCACTTCATCATCTCCAAGTCCTACTACCAATTCAGATTCAAGACTCTAGCATTGCTAAAAAGGCTTTCCCACCCAGTTGTTTCCCAGAAGAGCAGAGTATTTGTTTTTATTTCAATTTCAATTTCCTCTTATGTTGGTTAGTTCCTTTCAATAGGTTTATTCGTGAGAAAAATACCTTACTGTCTTCCGGCTCAGAAATTGTGAAGTTTCACGATTTGATTTGGTTGTGCAAATCCTATTTTTTGTCGCAATATGGGAGAGGGAAAAGGAAAAAATACTGAGAATTTGCATATTTTCAAAAATGAGACCTGCTGAAAAATATACACTATTGGAAGTGAATGTGAAATAGTTATTTAGAAGTAAAAAGAGAGAGAGAGAAGAAGGAAGAAGAAGGGTGAGGAAAAAGAGGAGGAAAATCTGGAAATTTTGAGCTTCTTAAGGCTCTCCGTTGATGGACCGTTGGGGAACATATGCACCATCTGTGATGTCAATCCCAATGTCAGCTCAATCTATCATCTCCAAGCATCATCCTGTATATATTGGGCTCCGATTAACTCCCTCTACTCTTCCTTCTTCCCATCTTACCACTTTCCTCTTCTTTCCTTTCCACTTTAGTTCCATTTTCACACTATTTTCAACTTGAAATATCAATAAAGAAAGTTTTCTTAATCTTCGACTAGTTAACAGTTCAGTAATAGCTTAGTGGAGATTTACTACTTCCATTCCAATCCCAATTTTCAATGATTTACTGATATCCATATTTCATACATCTTTCTTTTCATTCAAAAACATTGTATCCATTTATCTTCACTTCATTGAAATCTTTTCCATATAAATTAATAAGATATTGTTGGATGAATTCGTTGGTCAAAATTTCCGGAATCTTTTATGAAAATCCTAAATTTCATTTCCCTTTCATACTTCACCTAGTTTGTACAATGGATTTCGTACACATTAGAAATTTAACTACTTTAGATTAAGGATATAGAAATCCGACTTAGACTGAGATTGAAGATATGCTGTGATTTGGAATCGAAATTTCAAAATTCGTTTAGATTCTTGAGTTTTGTTGAGATGAAGTATAGTAAAAGTATTAATGTATGGTCATAACAAATCTAGAAACAAAAGCAAAAGGCTTTTATTACAGATTACTGAATCGATGGTTTAGTGGATAACTTGTCAGCAACTGTGCATTCACATCAAAGACGTGAATGGCATATCTCATTTTCCAAATGTGCATTTATCAGGCAATATTGGCTTTGTTGGAAATGCAAATGACAAAAAGCAGAGCAAGGAAGGGCGTAAAAGATCAGCTAAGTGAAACATTTAGTGAAATCTAAACATACGAATCGTCTTTTGGTAGACCACATTACCGCATTCCTTTAGAATCAAACAGCTTTGGATAATTTCTTCAACAAAAAAATATGAAAAACAAAAAAAAAGAACACAAAAAAATCCCATACCTAGACAGAATGTATTGGTAATCAGGGAAAATGAACATTCATTAGTAAATCTTGAAGACTCTTATTATTTACACCAGTATGGAAATTTCAATTAGTCTGTGATAAGTTTGATAAACAATTGAAGAAGACATAATTTGAGAAGCGAAAAATTAACTGACTGGAATTGTTGAGAACATTAGACAAATAAGACAAACTTTTCTGGGAGAAGCCTAAAGCAGAAAAAGCACAACAATACAATGAACGATCGTAGCAGTCATCTTGGGTTAGGAAAAAGATAAATGGCTATGCAGAGGTGGGTACGTAATCAGGATGAGGTGGCTGCACAAGCACCATATGAACCTACAATCAGTGGATCAATTAATAATCAAACATGTATGTCCGTCTGTATGCGTATGTGTATATGCATATGTTCATGTGCATGTATGTCCGTGTGTGTATGTGTCGCATGTGTATATATATATATATATATATGTATGTGGTAATTTATATGGTTGTCGGATGAAAGTGTCAAGAGGAGGCATTCAGGCTTGTTTCACTATTCGAGAACTGAGGAGGTGCTGACTTGAGCAGAGATGGCTGTCTGCTAACGATGATAACGAGAAGTATGGTAATCTTAAAGGTGAAGAGGTCAAGAGTTCGAAAGAAGTGTAATAGGATGAACAACAGTGATGAATGGAAAGCAGGAAAACAGCTAGATTCATAAGAAGTTCGTCGTATTAGTGTTTACGGGTAAGTTAAATTATTACTCAACTCCGACAGCAGTCAACAGTGATTTTTCTTTAAAATAAGTTGATGCTTATCTTATTTTAAATAAGATAAGCCATTAGTGTGAAGTTTAGCGTTTCCTATCTAAGTAAACAGACCACTATCAGCTATTTCAACTTCTCACAAAAAATTAAAAAACTTACATTTCGCTTGACTATTCTTGCAAAGTGACTATAAATTTGTAAATCGGTAGATAGTTCATTTTTATATATTTTTTTTCTTCTGAATCAGACGAAGGTGAGGCCGAAATGTTTCCGAATACTTGAGAATGAAACAGTAATGTGAGAGATTTGCACAAAATAATGAAGTCGCAATGCATTTTAAATCGATACATTATAGCAGCACACCAAAGCTATAATAAACAATAACATATATATTGCAGGCAAAAGTTGCAGCAAGACCCTATCACGCCAATGCAACAATATCAGTTATTATAATTAATGTTAAACGGCTAGGTATTTTGCAGGAAAGTTTGAGCAAATCGAAAAAAACTATTGCTGAACGTTTGCTAAAATGAGGCAGTGGAACTGCCAACTAAACAGAAAGGCTTGATATCTGAAACAGATTTCAAAACATCATTATATTCAACATATCATGTATTCAGTGATCAACATTCTCATGGTCTACCTAATTTTAGTGAGTCAAAAAATCTTTTTCTTAAACCCCACATGAAGTTTAGTTCCTAAAGAAAAAGTCAAGCAATAAACTACAAAACATCCTTTTTAAAATATCCGTTGGTTTTACAAAAGGCACTTTAAAATTTCGTAGGTAAAAAAATTATAGAAGAGAATTAGTCTTCAATTAATAGTGGGATAGAATAGGTAAAAAAGTTAATATAAGTGATTATATACCTATGTATCTCCATACGTTAATCTTCACCATCTCCAAATCTTCATGTGCTCCTTCTCAGGTGTTTGTCTATTCTCGTACTTAGTCTGTCAGTTGTCATTCAACTATTTTATTTATCAAATGTAAGAAAACAAATCTGAATGCAGAAAAATGAATTTTATGTAAGAAATTGTAAGAAACCGGAGAAATTCAATAATCGACGACGTCAGCTTTAAGCGGTGAAAAGATTTGTGCATATTATACATAACCTGTAAACTATTGTTAACTTAAGAAATGAAGTAAAAGTTTGTTAGGTATAATCACATTAGAAAAATAGGAGTACAA